CTCCTTGTGTCCAGCGTAAGGCTGGTCTTAGAATCTCTCATGTCCTTTCTGGCTAAAGGTTCTAACAACCATCATGTCCTATTACTATTATAATATGTCATCTTGCTATATATACCCTAACAAAGTAGAGATCATTGAAGAAAATTATGTTACTCACAAGACTGAAGTATAATTAGCATTGCTAATAAATGGCAGTAACTGGAAATAGTTTGCCCTTGAAATAATGCCCTTACCTAAATCTTGTTTAGCCCTAGCTATTTGTTTAAAAACAAACACGTATGATGCTATTCTTATCACAAATTTCAAATTAGAGAACTTGGTTCGGAATGAAAGTGGTTTTGACTTCACCATTAATACATGTATCTTGGGTTTTTAATAAATAAATGTGTTTTCCTCTCTTATTCTCTACCTGACCTTGGAACCCATTCCCGGTTTATTTTTTCCAATTGATCAGGGATGCGAGAGGACTCTGGTCTTTGGGACTGCACTTTGGTAAACAGAGAACTCAACCAAAAAAATAAAATAGAAATTGCTTGTGATCTTGTAATTTTCCAGGCCTGGGAACCGAGCTAGGCTTAAGCCCACCCCCCGATGCCAGCTCAGTCAGGGCTCCTGGACCTTGAACTGTTACCCAAGCCAACCTCCCTGCTGCACCAGCTGCACGCTCATTCACAGTGACCCAGTTTCCCTTCTTATGTAAGCAGCCCGCGCCAGAGAACCAGAGAGAGTGGGCCGGCAGCAGGCAGCGTGTGCGGCCACGGGACGTGTTCTTGGAGAGCCTGTGCCTGCTCCGGAAGATGCCAATATTCTGCTCAGTGTTCCAGGAATTCTGGACACAAGCCTTACACACCAACCTCAAACACTGTGTCATGTTCTTAGAGCCTGGGCTTCTTGAGGACCCTACAAAGAAAACCAAAGGGAAGTGAGAAATGAAAAAGAAAAAAAAAAGGCAGATCCTCATGTTTCTCTCTCAGTTTCGTGAACTGTTTACCACCCAACTCCTTTAAATGACCAGGATTATCTTTTGGTATTAGGCATGTTGTGTTCTGTGTGATGATGCCTTAAAGCACTGAAGTGTAGGCACAATGATCACAAACATGGAGGGAACATTTATGATCTGGGGGTCAGGCTCTGCGTGCTGTTTACATGTATTATGTGATCATCCCCACAGCCCCCTGGGGCAGTGCTGTTAGGGTCTGCATTTCTTTTTTTTTTAAATTTTATTTATTGATTTTTTAGAGAGAGAGGAAGAGAAAGGGAGAGAGAGAGAAACATCGATGTGCTGCCTCCTGCAGGTCTCCTACCAGGGATCCAGTCTTCAACCCACACATGTGTCCTTGACTGGGAATCAAACTGGCAATCTCCTGGTGCACAGGACGAGGCCCTACCAATTGAGCCACACCAGCCAGGGCTAGGGTCTGCATTTCACTGATGAAAGAACCGAGGCACAGAGCGGCTAGTATCTTGCCCAAAGTTACACAGCTAGTGTGTGTCCGGACACGATGCCAGGCAGTACAGCCTCAGAGATCAGAGAGAAGTCACTCTGTCCAGCTGCCTGGAATCTGTGGGGATGGAGGAGGCTCTGGTTCCTTGGGTGTAGGGGAGGAAGCAGCATTTTACGTGCACAGAGCGGAGTGCATGGAGCCCTTGCACAGCTAACACAATGCAGGTCACACTGAGAGGTGCCAGTAGATGCCTGTGAGCCTTTCAGAGATAAACCAGCATCCTGCATTTTAAACCAATTGCAGTGTCTGGGCAAGCAGAAGGGGAGGGTCCTGGTGGAGAGAAAGGGAACAATGGAAAAAAAAAAAAAAAAACAGTGAAAGGGACAGAGGACAGAAGGAAAAGAAATGGGACAGGAAAAGATGCTGAGGGGTCAGGGAGAAGACCAGAGAAAAGCCTTGCTGAGAAGTGATGGGAGGTGGTAGCGGGGAGGACAGGATGCAGATGGGAAGAAGAAACCCCACTGGCTCTGGTCCATACAATTCCGTTGCTAGGTGACATAAGCAGGAAAGGTGGGCCAGGTGGGGGACCAGCAGTCTGTACTCAGAAGCCCTCTGAGGCCATCTGCTCTGGGGAAGGGGCCGGGGTCCCGCAGCCTTGGGGGCTTTCTACCCCTTCTCATTTCCATTGTTCAGTGCAGTTTCTCTCGGTACAAGCCAGTTCTCTAGGCATCAGTTTCCTCACCCACAAGATGGGAAGAAGTAAAGCAACATCCCTGAGAGCGTGTTGCAGGTGTTATCTCTTTAATTCACACAAAGACCCAACAAAGCTGAGGCTTAGATGAAGAGAGATAACATCTGTACCTCGGGTAGCACAAGGCCAGTTTCCTTAGCTGGGTTATCTTCACCGAATACTGTTGATGGAGGCAGAATGGTAATTTTCTTTTTTTCTCTGTAACAAGACTCGGCTTGCTCATAAAAAAAAAAAATGATGAAAAGCAAAACAAAATCTAACGCAAACAATAAACTTGAGCTTTCCCAACAGGCTCTTCCAAGTTCCTCCTCTAAGTCACTTTGCATTTGCTCTGTTAGATAAATGCATCGGGTTTTAGGGTCCTCCCCCGAATCTCTCCTGTCCACTCCCTGACTATAGCGGAAAGGCAGCAGGTCCTCCTGAGGGTGTCCATGGCTCTTGTCACGTGCGGGCTGGTCCCACTCAGAGGCCACCTGGGCTGTCTCGGGCACTGTCTCCTCAGAGGCGTCCACAGCTCCAGCTGGGTTTTCATCCAGCCTCTGCCTGTGGCCTCGGAGTGGTGGCCATCTCCTGGCAGGCGGTCTAGCTCTCAAGTTCACGTTCTTTGGAGCCTGTGGATGCTTCTGGACCTCCCCTGTGAGAACTTGGAGGAGATGCGGGTGGCAAAGAGAGCATCACAAGGGCTCTTCTGGGCAGAGATTTTAAAATTTGTTTTCTGAGGTATCCCAAGACTTTGCACAGTATGCAGTTGTACATTAGTTTGAAAAATTTTGTTGAATTGAATGAATGATTCTCAGGCCACCTCTCAGCCTAACTGCTGCCATGTCACTGTTTCACGGTCACTTTGACTCTCAACTTACCTGGGGTTTCTACTCCCTCTTCTCAGGGTTTCAAATCCGATGTAGGAATGAGGTTGGGTGGGATCCAGAGCAGAGCTCTTATTTGAGTCTTGACCAGTGGTTCTCAACCTTCTGACCCTTTCAATACAGTTCCTCTTGTTGTGACCCAACCATAAAATTATTTTCATTGCTACTTCATAACTGTAATGTTGCTACTGTTATGAATCATAATGTAAATATCTGATATGCAAGATGGTCTTAGGCGACCCCTGGGAAAAGGGTCGTTCGACTGCAAAAGGGGTCGCGACCCACAGGTTGAGAACCGCTGGTCTAGACTATGTTACTCTTCTCCTCCTTCCCCTGCTTATTTCCATCCTTTTTAATGGGAAAACAAGCTTACATAGTTTTCTGCTTTCTCCGTTTTCTATGTCGTAGAGATAAGGTGACCAAATGTCCTCGTTTTTGCCTGTGGGGGGTCATAGTTTAAGCCCAGTCTCCCCATGTGATTCACAGAAGTGCCTCCCTTCACTCTCAGAAATGTCTTGGCTCGCGTGATGAGTTCATGGCCACCTCTAGCTTTGTTAGACACTTTCAGCTCATACCTCCAAATTTAGATTTATTTATGATTTCAAATTTAGCTTTGAGAGTCCCACCAAAACCCTTTTCTCTCTCAAGTTGGGGGCTCTTCCAATGAAATGTCTTAGCTTTATGGCCATTGTTCTAGCATCAGTCTATATTGAAAGACAAATATTGACTTTTTAATTAGGAGAAATAAAAATGTTTCAGAAAAGTAGAAGCAAACATTCAAGTACATCAACAGCGTAGCGCCGCCAATCCATCAAATAATCCAGCACACTGTGCTGGCGCGTGTTGGTGGACCTCAGATCCGCGAGCAGGGCATGCCATCACCCAGAATTAAGAACTGCTCACATATTGTCCTCCTAATGAATTTTAGAAAGGAAGTAGTACACCATTATAGCGAGAGCCATTTTTAATAGTGCAGTGACTTTATTCTAGGTGGTGCCTACCCTTCCCCTGAGGGAAGGTCTTTGGGCTGCCAGCGGCCAGGTAGCTGCAGGATAGCTCGCAGAAAGCGATCATTGTTATTCATTTAAAGGAGAGTGTGGTAAGGGTTGAAATAATTCATTAAAATGTTTTAAAATATAAACATCAACTGAGTGCCCAGGCTATCAATGAATGCTGTTTTCTTCTCCAAATCTATGTGGTAACCCTGCACCTCTTCTTCTGATTGGAGGCTCTGTTTGAATAAAAGTGAAAGGGTATATTCATTCAGTCATTTAGAACAAAAACTGTAATTAATCTTAATTAAAACACATAATTTGATAGGCAAGGTCTTTTGAAATAAATGAACTATGTTGTAAACCATTAAAATACAGGGCCTCAGAGGTTTTCTAAAGGAGGCTGGGAACCCCGTGCATGTACTAGAAGGGTATTACCAGCTGAATTTCAGTGTGTGTTCACCTTCAGATATGATTCTGGTTGCAGCAAAGGATTTGCCCTGAGGAATTCACACCTCCCTCTAGTTCATTTTATAATAGATTGTTTTTTTGTGTGTTTTTTTTCCAGGCTTGTATTAGGGTAAGGAATGGGTTACATGCATTACTTTGGCCTCATTAGAAACACAGGCTCACCAGTAGACCCAGGGGGCAGCCGACTCTGCATTAGGGGTCAGGCAGTGACCCCTGACAGCTGATCAGAAGTGACCAGGCCCTCCCATAGTCATTATTACTGTGGTTTCCTAAGCATTTCTCCTTAATATCACTGTTGCCTCTGAGACTCTCTGCATGTCTGAGAGCAGAAAGTCTTCAAGAGGTTCTGGAGGAGCAGTGGGGGTTAGTCAAGGCCACTCTGACATTATTATTACCTTTCTTTCTCTCTTCTGCAGTTCTTGTGCCTAAGCTTCTTTCTATCTCTCTTCCTTTCCACCTCCCTCCACATCCACAGATGGGGTGGCTGCATTCCTCGCCTTCTTGAAGACCGAGTTCAGCGAGGAGAACCTGGAATTCTGGTTGGCCTGTGAGGAGTTCAAGAAGACCAGGTCAACTGCAAAACTGGCCTCCAAGGCCCATAGGATTTTTGAGGAGTTTGTGGATGTGCAGGCTCCGAGGGAGGTGTGTTGGCAGTGGCAAGCTCTTGTCAGACCTCTATCCATGGCTCCTGGCTCACACCTCCCTCCTCATGGGGGTTTGAGCCAGGCATCATGGGGACTGTCTTTGGAACTGAGCTCACTGGCTCTTGATGCATGGGGGGATCCTTTTAAAAGCAGAGCCAAGGGCCTGTGTAAAGGAGCTCCAGTAGGAGTGCTTTAGCAGTCTGCCAGTTAAACATTGCCCGCAGGAACTGTGTTTCTCTAGAGATTCTACAAGGAGAAACACCCCTGAATCCATGTGAGTTTTCCTAGTGGAAAGCAGCATGGCTTAATGGAACGAGCATCCACTTTGGAATCTTGTTCCAATCTCAGCTCCACCACTTACTAGCTGTGTGATCTTGGTTAAGTTACCTACCCTCTCTGAGTCACATCTTCCCGAATGTAAAAGGACCTAATATCACCTTCCTTTCAAGACTACTGTAGGTATTAGGGATAAAGCACCTGTTGAGTATTTGTCGATGCTTATTAATTACAGTCATTTATATTATTTTACCAGAACTTCTTATAATTACTTAGAATAAGAAAATGAATTCAATGTACTGCTATTTTGATAGATAAAAGGTAAATTTACTTGGGAGGGTTTTATAGAAGAAAGCATTCGCTGTCAATGAGTTTAGGTGCATTACACACCTAGAACTCTTCAATTGTGCTTTGACTTGGGCTGCAGGAGGCCTTTGGCCTGTGGCCAGGATGCTGTAGGCTTCTTATAATGCTGCTTGGAATAGAGATGTGCATTCTAATCACAATCTCTCTGCCTGGAGCATTTGTTTTCATAGTAGTTAAGAAAGGACAAGAGGGCAAGCTTACTTTAGGGAACCGGCATTAATACTTGTCTCGAGTCTAACCCTTTGACATTGCAAAGGCCTCTGGATTAAGAGTTAAGTGAATTGGGCTTTTGCCTTGGCTTTGTTACTGACTTTCCATATTACTTTAGACCAGCTTTTTAGTATCTCTATTATCTATAAATTGGGATGGGGAATATCTGGTCTTCAGGACTCATAAGATTCTTTCTAGAATCAGAAGGGATGACCTCCATGAAACCAGTTTGAAAAGCCTGACTAGCCTTATAGCTATCAGCTGCTGTCATTGATTATTACATAATTAGGACCAGCTGCCAGGCGCCTTGGCCCTTGAGAGCCGGTGACCATGCTGTCTGTTTGTGTCTCCAGGTAAACATAGACTTCCAGACTCGAGAGGCCACGAGGAAGAACATGCAAGAACCATCCCTGACTTGCTTTGACCAAGCGCAGGGCAAAGTACACAGCCTCATGGAGAAAGACTCTTACCCCAGGTTCCTGAGGTCCAAAATGTACTTAGATTTGCTGTCCCAAAGCCAGAGGAGGCTCAGCTAGACCTCAGATGGGGACTCTTGGAGATCGCTGGCTTTCCCCGCCCCTTGCTGCCAAGACCATATTCTAATGTGAAATGTCAGGGGTGTTCTAAAGCAGTGGTGTTTAGGTTGGGAGGCTGGGGTGAGGAGGGGATGAGGGGCCATTCCAAAGTGTAATTCAGTCACCAGAACTGGGATTCTATTTTATTTACCCATGTTTATGTTTTGGTTAGTGGTAGCACCTGGCTGCACTCATCCTTCTCTGGGTCAGTAACTTGCCCTCCATAATGCCTTGGGTCATCTCCACTGAGAAGGTAGATTCGCTAGGCCGGGCTAACCAGTAAATAATAGAAATGCAGTTTCCATAACCCCCATACCCTCCTCCATTAGGATTCCTGACACTCTAACTTGTCCTATACCCCTGTGAGGAAGAGTTAGAAGACTGGCTCACACCTGTGATTTGCTATCACAGTGTAACAGCCAGTTCCGGGTGCTGGGGCCTCACAGTTTAGGAGAGAGGTCCCTGTGGAATCCCGGGTCTCTAGAACTATCATTGATAGGTGACCCCTGGGAGAAGGGGCAAACTCCATGGAGTTGGCCGTTTCTTCCATTTCCACAGGACCAGTGTGCAAGGCTGTGCTCACTGCCCATCTTAGTCTAGGATATTCACAAGACTCCCCTACCCTTGCAAGACCCTTCCAGAAAGGGTCTTGGGAGATGTCCCTCACAGCTTCTGATGCGGAGCTGCTATTAAGAAAGCTACAGCTTGCCTATCTTCCTACCTTCTACCAAGAAGTTTCCCAGAAGTTGAACAACCAGGAAATGTAGCACCAGTAGACCTTTCTGCAGTGGGGCACCATATAACCTTTCTGCTGCTTAATGTACTCTCTGCCCTCGCTTCCCTGTGGCATCACACATCACCGATCTCTTAGAATGACAGACAGCTTGGCAAAGGGAGGCGAATTCCCATAGCATGGACAGCTCTCACGGTGCCTACTGCTCTCCCTGTCTCTCTCTGTCCCCCCTCCCAGGCAGGTCATGTAATTATGATGGGGGAGAATGGGAACTTAGGCCATAACTCTTTCCCAGCTTGCTTCCTGGGAGCACGCTTTCTTAGAAAGGCCCTTCTCATGAGGGCCACCTTGGCTATTCAGCAGCTTCCTTTTCGATTTCTGACCTTTTGGGATTGAACATGAGGCTAAGAAGATCACTGTGAACATTTGCTTGTGGAGAATCTTCCTAAAATGCTTTCCTGGTACCCTGGGGCTGCTCTTGGAAATATGTCAAGAAAGTCTTTCTTAGAGGAAGAACCAGGCACATGGAACCTACTCTAGCTGCCCAGGAAAAAGCTGACTCTGGCACAAGACTGCGGTGCCAAGGAGATGAATCCTCAGCAGAGAGACCAGAAACTGGAAGAGGGCCCTGGAAGAGGCTGGTCTCTGGGTGAACTGAATCACAGAGAATGTGGCGAAGGAACCACTGGGATAATTCAAAGTCAATGGATTGGGAGGCATGGCAGATCTCCAAAACATTTAGTTTGACTAAATGGAACAGCGTCTGACTAGATGTAAGCCCTGGAGTGCAGGTGATTGAGAACTGGGCTGAAGCATTCTCCTCCTGTGGGGTGATGGGCCTTTTTAGACATGCGGGGATCCCAGTGTTTCCATTCCTGTCCAGAATTGTGCGAATCTCTTCCTTCCTTGGCTGCAGCTAGACAAGGCCAGGAAGGCTCTCGAGTCCCACTGGTGTTGGGTGCACTGCCCTGCCATGGCACATCGTATCCATGAGTGAGGATTGGTGTGCCGGTATGAACCACCGAGGAGAAAGAGAACTCATGCCTATAGTTCTCACACGGGAGACACCAGTGGAATTTCATGTTCAAGAACTCTGAAGCCTCAAGTGGTGTTTCTAGTTAGATCAGGAAGTAAGTATTCCCTTGCCCCCACTGGTAAAAAAACACCCCATCCGTAGCTAAAGCTGCCAAGATTAATGTAATGATCAAATTCTCAAACAGGGTATTTTAAACATTGTTTACATACGAAATGTGCATCTGCTGCCAACTCTACTGTCGAAAATGAGGTGCATAGAAATTGGAACAGCACGGAGTTATGGAAATCTGAAACGTTCTAAGAGGGGCCTTTTTACCACTTCCACTATCCCCAGGAGACAAGTCTGAACAAGAGTGTTGTGCGGTGGCCTCACTGGGGCCCTAGAGTTCTTGCCAACTGTTGGTGGAATGAAGGCTTCAGATGGTGGTGTCATGGCGCCTGGTGACTTCCTCCCACGATGGGGAGGCATGAAGGACCAAGCTTGGGTATCCTGAATGTTGCCGCTAAGCGAGGGTATGTGGGCATGTGTGGAGGAACATGATCGCTGTTTATGGTACTCCCATGGAGTGTGAGTGTGTGTATGTGTGTGTGTGTGTGTGTGTGTGTGTGTGAGAGAGAGAGAGAGAGAGAGAGAGAGAGAGAGAGAGAGAGAGAGAGAGAGAGAGAGAGAACTGTGAGCATTAGACTAGTAACCACAGAGATGGTCTTCCCGTGGGATGGAGCTGTCCGCACACCTGTATGTCCTGCTTCCCACAAAAGGCACAGAGCTCTGCGCTCTCGTGCCTACTTTCAGGCACTTTGGTGATGCCAACCCAGATTTTGGTCTGAGACAAAACAAAGAGAAATGTTTACAACATCTAGAGCAATATCCAAGCATACCTCATCCCCCACCTTCCACCTCCCGGTCCTGCCTGTCCTATTTCCTCTTCCACAAGCCCTCATCGCCTCGCCTTCGTAGGTGGGCCCCCAAAAGGGACCACTTCTTCCATTTAAAGTCTTCCTTTTGCTTCTGCGGTCGGCTTGTGCTGTGAACTGCCTTCTGGGCTCCAGGCGTGCTCTGTGCCTGGGACCTTTGAAGGCCAGGCAAATCTATGACTTTCAGGACCGTTCTCCAATGTGAGTGGCCTTTTGGCCCCATTTGACTGTCAAACTGTTTGGGGGCTGGTGTGGAATTTCCTGTTGCCCTTGGCAAACCAAACAGAGCCGTAATCAGTGACAGCCATTCACAGCCCCGGGCACCACTGGGGTGAGGAAGGGCCCTCGAGCAATATTTATTATTAAACGTGAGCTTCAAGGAAACTGGCCACCCGGGAAAGCCTGTTACAAGTTCTAATTCCCAGGTTCCACGCCCAGAGATGCTGACCCAATAGACCTAGGGTGGGACCCAGAAGTCTGCATTTTTAATGCGCTCCTAGGTGCGTCGTGAACCACACTTTGAAGAGAGATGGTCTAAGATGGTGGCTCTCACCCTTGGCTGCTCATTGCAAATACCTGGGGGAGTTTTAAAAACCCAAATGTCCAGGTCCCATCCCAGAATAGCTTGGCCCTGGGACCCAAAGCATTAGTAGTTTTTGAAGCTTCACAGGTGATTCCAATGTACAGGTGAGGTTAGGAAGCAGGGGCCTGAGGAGTGAGGAGGACACGGCTGAGCAGGAAACACCACTGTGCGGGCCAGAGGGCTGGAGCCTCCCGCCTCCCCCCACCCCCACCCCCCGGGCCCCGAGATGCACATAAGCATAGGGACCAGGAACCTGCCAGCCCGGAGTATGACTGTTGGGGTGGCAGCCTCTGTGCCCTTTCAGTCTGCCTTGCTCTTTTGAGATACAAATACCATGTTTCTGCTCCAGCTCCATGCATTGTTGGGCAGCAGTTATGCCAAAAGTGGGGGCTGAGGGGGATTTGGTTAAGAGAGGTTTTGTCACCTCCCCCCCACCCCCAAGTCTTGTTCACAGTGCTTCCTCCAAGCTGGCCTCCTGGGCTGTTCCCGTTTGTTTCCATGCATTCTTGTGTTTGGCCATTTTCCAGTGGTTCTCAACCTTCTGGCCCTTTCAATACAGTTCCTCATGGTGTGACCCAACCATAAAATTATTTTCGTTGCTACTTCATCACTGTAATGTTGCTACTGTTATGAATCGTAATGTAAATATCTGATATGCAGGATGGTCTTAGGCGACCCCTGTGAAAGGGTCGTTCGACCGCCAAAGGGGCCGCGACCCACAGGTTGAGAACCGCTGTGTGAGACTGTGCCTCTGTCCCCAAGGCCATGTGACACAGTAGTTGGAACTCAGGTAGTGGGTGAAGGTGTGTGGTAGTCATCATGGCGGTGGCACAGTAACTTGCAGATTCCTCCAAGGAGGGCGTGTCATCCTGGGAATGTCAAGCTCTCCGAGGCTTTCTTTGCCAATACCCCAGTGGGGCTCCAGGTCCTGCTCTGGGCCCTCACCATTCCCTCTTTGGTCTCAGGCAGGATGGGCACCTAGAAACTTCCTAGTTGATTTTACCCTCTGGTGCTTGCTGTTCTGAATCAGCCGAAGCTGTGGGCGGTGTCCTGCCCAGGCTGCAGGCCCCGGGCACCACTCCTCCACAGGGCAGGGCTGGTGTCTGGGCTCTGCAGGCCCTGGGCTGTGAGGGGAAGGCATGAACCCTTGGTGTTGAGAGCTGGGCGAGGGAGGAACTGGGAAGACGAGGGGAAGGGGGAGGGGGAGAGGAACAGGGAAAGTGGGGTCTGCTTCTCCATGAACCAGAAGGGAGAGGGGGTGAGAGGCACATTCTCAGAGGCAGGATGGGCTCCCACCCATATGAGTGCCCAGCACGCTCCCGACCCTGTCTGTGCCCACATCCAAGCAAGACTGAGTGAGGGTTTACGCTTTTCCACTCGCGGCTATCCTTGCATTGGCCCGTGTCAATCCTCTGAAAATCTGGCCTTCCGGGTTGGAAGCAAGAGGTGGCAGAGTCACCCTGGCATCAAGATCCTGTGCCACGGGGCAGCAGACTTGGAGGAAGAACGCAGGAGCAGACATGTCTTCCTGTCCCCGCGGCCTCTCTGGACTCCAACCCGATGCTATGGACCAAATGGGAGACTGTAGGATGGGAACACTGGCCTTCCCGACTGGGGCCCGGGACCTCTCAATAAACTGCCCCCCTTTTTTATCCTTATTCCCTTCCTGCTCCCTCCCCTCTGCCAGGTGCAGAAAAGGTGGCTGGTCTGGGTGTGTTCCCCAACCACGGTAGCATTAGCTGAGTCACACGGCGTGCACGACATTTGTAGCAGCTCATCTGCCACATAGAGCGCTTGGCTGATGGAGTCCTCATGGAGTTGTCTCATTACCGTGCAAAGTCGAATCATGTCACTCACCTTGACTATAAACAAGCCTTGGAGACATAATAAACAGAACCTGAACCCGCTGCCCTTTGCTGTCCGCCCACGTTTCTTTCTGAGGCCCCGCTTTGAGTAACACGTGGACGCCCTGGGGGAACATTGGCCCGGACCTCACCCAGCCCAGGCTGGCAGGGGGCCAGCCACCAGGAACGTGGCGGTGGCGTGGGTGGAAATGGGATGGGGCTGGTTTGGGATGAATGTGGGGGTGGAAAGTGACTTCAGATTACGAGAGTGCCTTTGAAGCTGTAAAAGGCCAGACAAACAGGAGGTGGTATTTGTATTAGTGCCACCTACGGCTGGATAATGCAGGGAGAGAAAGGCTGAGGGATGGCTTGTGTGTTTGTGCAGCTGGGCAATCTGAAACGGAGTGGTTGGTCCTGTTTATGACTGTACTCACTTTATCCAATCGGCGTGCCCCTGAAAAGTGTGCATTCGTCACCGAGTCTTTGAATGTCTCTGGTGATCAGGTTCCGTGGAGGGGACGAAGGAGAATGAAGGGGAGTATCTGCTTGCAAAAGCTCATTTTTAGGTGTAGTGATGATAGAGATATACAAAACCTTAACAATCCAAATAATTAAAATGCACCAAAGAAAGGAACCCGGATATTTCTTCTAAGGTGAATGCTTTGTGTTACATGAAAAAGCCTTTTGTAATGCAGGTGATCACTCCTAAATTCTAATTTTGTGGCCTGGGCAAGGCACCGTGGTAGCCTGGGCTACTGTAGACCAGACGCCCGCCCACTGGGGAGGGGCTGTGATTGGATCCTCTCCAGCTTAGCTTTTCTACTCCCTCTTACCCCATTGCTCCCCGGGGCTTCTGACCCCTCTGGGACCACTAAGAGCAGGGAAGGAAGAGAGGAGAGGGAGCAAGGGACACACACCTAATGCACATGCCACCTGGGACAGGCCTCGGGCTCTCTGGGCCTGGGAGGAGACCCTGTCTCATTGAAGACCCTTTCTCTAGGGGATTCCTTCCACCCTCCAGCTCTCCCAGCAAGGATGAGAGCTCTCCTATTCTGGCTGGTGGCTTGCTCTTTCCTGGGAGCCCCAGCTTCTGTCTGTTTGCCCCTTTAGGGCTCCCTCTTGGACATCTCCTTGGATGACCCCATGCCAGTCTCTTTGTCTCAAGAGACCCATCTTTGGCCCATTAGAAGCATTTGGGCCTTACTTGCCCCTAACAGCGGTTCTCAACCTGTGGGTCGTGACCCCTTTGGCGGTTGAACGACCCTTTCACAGGGGTCGCCTAAGACCATCCTGCATATCAGATATTTACATTACGATTCATAACAGCAGCAACATTACAGTTATGAAGTAGCAACGAAAATAATTTTATGGTTGGGTCACAACATGAGGAACTGTATTTAAAGGGCCAGAAGGTTGAGAACCACTGCCCTAGGTGGTCAAGGCAGCAGCCACTCTGTCCTCATTTTGCAACCAGAGCCCCACACCGGCCTGCTGCTGACGTTTTTGATTTTTCAGGCCCAGGTCAGGCTCTCCAAGGGACCCGCTGCACTCTCCCTGGGAGTGAGGTGAAAGCCAGGCACCCCACCCCTTCCCTTTTGACGGGGTGGCACTGACAGCTCACTGACAAACCCTCACCCATTCTTCCCAGCCCCTGGCCTTCTCTGTGGGCTGGTTTTGAGTGCCTTCTCCCTGGTCCTCCATGCCCTCCCTGCAGTGTCTGCTTGGCCTGGAACCCCTTTGGTATCTGAGATCTATCTCTTAGGTCTTGACAGAGAAACCTCTTATGCAGGATGGGGGGGGGGGGGGCGCATCTCATTAACACAGTAAATGTGGAAAAGAACAAACAAAGTCCTTTCTGGTCCTACACCAAACAAAGCGGAAGCCATGGCCAGAGGGAGCAAAAGAGAGGTCATTGAGAGAACGCCCTCCTGGGGGTACACATCTTCCTCGGGGCTGGTCCTGGTTCCCTGTCCAGCGGGTATGGCACAAAGCCCTGGTGAAGGCTGGAGAGGGAGAGTGGGCATTCACCGTGGGTGCTGCCTCCCCATCCATGCCTCATTCACAGAAGATGGGAGTCAGAGCCCAGCACCTATGCCACCGTGGCTGCATGTGCTGCTAGGGAGCGGGCAAGTCGCCAACCTGAGGGAACTGTCCTTGCCAGGGTTTCATCAGCACTCTTCTTCTTCATTATTTGGGCTCTGACGCTAGACTCTCCGAGTCTGAATCCCAGCTTACAAGTTGTGTGATTTTAGGAAAGTTATCTCCCTGTGCCTCAGGCTTCTCATCTGTAAAACGATGATAATCACAGAACTAACTGCTTGGGGCTGCTGTGAACATTAAGTTAACATGGAAGACGCTTAGCACGATGCCCGGGACTCAGTTAGGCAACAGCGTGTGCTAACTGGTATCTTCTTTCACATTGGGGTCCGCAGGACTCAAACCAGCACCTCCGTACAGAGCCGAAAGCAAATGATGTGACTCGCTCCCCGGCTCCTCCTTCCCTTCCAAACCATAACCTCCCTGCGGGCAGAGACTGTGTCTGCCTAGTTCCCGGCTCTACTCCCTAAGTATTCATTGGAAGAATACTGTGTCTACAGAGGTGTTCTGAGCACCTCTCATAGATGAGGCTCTTGGGGTGAATGGAGGCAGAGGCAGGAATGCTACAACACGGGCCCACCCTTACTTCTTTCAGGAGCTTAACCCTTCACAACCCTGCACACGGCCTAGCAGATACAGGTGGATCTCAGATCCCAAAGGACTTACCAAACGAGAAGTGAGGAAAGTAAGTGGCTGCCTATTCCGAAGTGGCAACACTAAAAGACAACTCTTAGGAGCCAGGGACTGTGCAGGGCCGTTTCTATGCTGCATCTAGTTCAGCGGTTCTCAACCTGTGGGTTGCGACCCCTTTGGGGGTCGAATGACCCTTTCACAGGGGTCGCCTAAGACCATCAGAAAACACATATATAATTACATATTGTTTTTGTGATGAATCACTATGCTTTAATTATGTTCAATTTGTAACAATGAAATTGGGGGTCACCACAACATGAGGAACTGTATTAAAGGGTCGCGGCATTAGGAAGGTTGAGAACCTCTGATCTAGTTGAATGCCTCAACAATTCTATGAGGAAGTGTATTGGTCTGCTAGGGCTTCCATAACAAAATGCCACAGGCCGAGTGCTTTACAAAACCGAAATTTATTTTCTCTCGGTTCTGGGGGCTGGAAGTTTAAGATAGAGTCAGGGTGAGTTTCTTCTTAGGCCTCTCTCGTTAACTGGTCAATGGCCTCCTTCACCTGCTCCTCACATGGTCATTCCTCTGTGACCACCCCCGTCCTGTCTTCTCTTCCTCTGAGGACG